ATATTTCGATATTATATCCCAAATAGTTTTGGTTGGGTTTAACTTACAGAAGTATTGAGTCGAGTTGACTTGAATTCAAACAAAAATAGCACTGGATGGACAAACATCAAATGAGTTCTGTGTCCTTTGTCCAACAACATACTGTCATGACAGAAGGATATTTGAAAACATATCTGCGCATGTTCATATGTATGTGTTGGTGTTGCCGCAATACGTATGCTTGGAACAAAACGAATCAAGTAAAAATGGTTTGGAAACATTTGGAAAAATCAAAGATTCGTTCAAGTGAAAAAAAAAGCAATATTCGGTTAAGAAATGAACTCTCAATTTTCCTCTGATTTCTATCTCCAAATCAATCACAAATTTGCATTAGAAGCCGGAATGACAGTTAAGCGATACTTACAATATCACACCAAGTATATCTCTCGATCAAGCGAACACTCTCAAGTACATACAAACCTAATAAAAACTTGCAATTTGAAAATTATGAATTAATTGAATGCTCCCTGAAAATGAATTTTTCGAAACAGTTTTATCGAATGCCATTCCAGCATCAAAAGATGAAAGAGTCGATTTCGTTTCGATTCCAATAACGGTTGGTTGTTTATTGAATGCACATAAATGTTCTTACAAAAAATCCCATTATTTTTTTTTCTTGATAGAATTAAATTTATGCGCTGTTTGAGTTTGGACCACGACGACGTCCGAATCCTTGCACGACATTGACGAATCGTCGGTTGTATTGGATACGTCTCTTAGCACGGCCGGTCTTCTTCTTTTTCTTTTCTTGTTTTTCAACTTTTGGTGTTTGCCCCTTGACTTTACCAGCACGAGCCAATGAACCGTGCACTTTACCACCCAACAATGGAACGTTCAAGTCCAATTCGAAACTGCTCAATGCGCTGGCTGGGGTGAACAAGTCCAAAATGGTACCTTCGCATGACAATGTGAATTCGGCGGCATCGACATGTTCCAAAGCGGCAATTTTGTTCTGCAAAACAAGAAGAAAAATTCCATTAGCAAATTTGCACATGACAGCGATAAAATGACGCGCATTGCGATAAAAAAAAACACAAGTCGCAATTGATTTACACAACCGAATGCAATCTTTACATTGAACACAGCACATAACCTCAAAACCATTTCAACACACCACAACTAATTTCCGATCGGAATCCAATGGATATTTACCTTGATTTCAGCGACGGTTTCATGTTGCTCAACGTCCAAAACGTGAGATTGGTTTCCGCGGATGTGTAATTGCATGTTGATTTCGTTTATCAGCAAACTGGAATGAAACAAAAAAAATATCCACATTAGTTTTGTTGTGCACACGACGAACGGAACCAATGTTCCACACGTGTTAGTAGTGTTCAAGTGTGAGAAATACACTTTTTTTCGGAAAATTCGGCATAAACAAACGAATGCTGATGGAAAACTTAAACTTATTGCCAATTTATTAAACAAATTGAAGTGATTAGAGATATTTTTCGGGTTTTTTGCACAAATTTTACCGAAAAATGTTAAGAGAGTGGAAAAAATGAAACTAACCAGCTTTAGAAAAGACTGCAAAAGAAAGATGGCTGTCAGAATGTCAAAACCAAAAGACGACATCAGCCGCAATGAACGAACGAGACTCACGAGATTTTCGAGAGTCACGGGTTGCCAAAGTGGTGATTACGGCGCGTTCTCACACTTGATTGTGATACATTTTTTTAATTAATTTGCTGAAAATAAAATGAAAAACTGAACTTTCGAAAATTTTAAATTGAATTTATTTAAAATACTCGCATTTATTCACTCAATTCCATTTAAAATAGGTAATTTCAACGAATAAATGCGATTAAAAAAGTGTAATCAAACCGAAACCGTCTATACAACATGCGAGAGTGACGTTTCATCATCGTAGTCGCATTTTTGACACCTCAGCTGACCAACACGAAATTTTTTATGTTTCGTCCACACAAATATTTCACAATATCATTTTGAACTTGCTTCGATTTCCGATGAGAAACGAAATATTATTTTTCTTCAATTAAAGTGACCAAATTGGCATTGAGCGGCGAACGAATGTTGAAGTGTGAAAAGATGTTTTTCAATATTCACAGTGTGATTTGGCATTTGTTACAGTTTATCTTCGATATGGTTGATATCTGTTGTTGGTTTGGCACATTTGCCAAGGCGAAATGTAAAAGTGTTCAACGAAGATTTGGTGGCGAGGATATTTCCAGCGAGAAAATCTTAATCGAACGGAACAAAGCCAAATTGACTAAAATTCCCATTCATTTGGCTGTGATTCTGGGCACGGAATTGCCCGACTTTAGAGCGCTGTCAAAAATTATCTTCTGGTGTTTATCAGCCGGCATTCAAAACATTAGCTTTTATGATCATCGAGGTAATTTGCATAAACAGAAGCGGTTTGTTTCTTTATTTACATTTGAAGCGTTACTCAATGGGTTTGTTTTCTTTCGGTTCGTAGGTATTTTGGTGTCAAACAATGACAAAGTCTACGATTATTTGTCGCGATGGCGAAAGGACAACGATAAAATTTGCTGGAATTCGAATAGTCGTGATATTTGCGGCAGTCAAGTGGTGTACAGAAATGGAGCGAAAAAGGAGTTGTCGGTAAACTTTTTGTCGCCACGCGAAGGCAAAATGAAAATTGCCGATGTGTGTCGAACGATGGCAGCTGATGCAAGCCTCTCACCCGAGCAAATTAATATCAACAGCGTGCACGAACGGTGTGCAAAGATAGTGAATCCTGATCCTGATGCGGCCATTTATTTTGGCGAAGTTTGCAGTACCTACGGTTTTCTACCGTGGCACATTCGGCTCACCGAATTTTTCCCCATCAAATCACAAGAAACGATGAGCGTTTACTCATTCCTAGACACACTGTTTTTATTTTCCAAATGCGAACAACGGTTCGGATATTGAAGTGCCACATGAATATAGTTCCACATCTAGTGTTACGTAGCATAATGTAAGATATACGCATCAAAATGGAAGAAGTGTCGATGATGAGAAAACGAAAAGCAAAAGTTGGAATATTTTTTATCGTTCACAAACATCATGTAGGGTCACCACAGTTCCAACACCTCAAATTGAGCAATGAAAAGACTTTGTAAATGATATCAATGAACATGCTGGATTATTTAGTTAGTACGCTTAATGTTTCATCGATTGGTTGAGGCTCTTTCAATCAAGAGCGCACACAACCAAATCAATCGAACCATTACTTTGTAAGAGAAAAACAACTGTTAATTAAAAATATATATCAAATGGAATGAAACAACACGTGCATTTTTCAATTGATGATTCAACGAGGGCTGAAAATAAATCTGGCAACGAGACTGTTTATTTACATGTTCGATGTGAAATTGTATTCTTTCTCCTGCGTCATTATAGTTTTTTTTTCTTCATTCCTTTCTTGCTCCAGTTGATTAACTTTTTGTTCCCACAATGAGCAATATTTTTTTTCCGTTTCAATGGTTCAACACAAGCACATGCTGCCAATCACAATTCAATGATCAATTAATTAAATCATATTTAAAACCTGCTAATATGCAAATCAATAGCTCCTACCTCATTAAAATGTGCCACATTCATCAAATTGGTCAGAAAGAGACAGCAAATTACGCGCTAGTTGAAAAAAGTGTGCAACACATGTTGAAGTGTAAACACAACAGTCAGCTTATGAGTAAATAAACGAAAGGTATCATATTAAAATTGTGAATCTCGCATTTGAAAAAAAAAACATGTGGAAAAAAAACAGTAGCAAACGCCATAAATGCGTAGATTTGGCACGTTTGGGAGATTTGATGTGAATTTGTCCAAACAGTGGTTATTCCATCTCAATATTGAGAATACCTTTTGAGCTTTACGATGCATATGAAGTGGCTCAACATACATTAGTGTTGTGGTGGCACAGATGTGCAATGTGCATTATTCACTGCATAAAATCGTCGAGGTAAATGATTTTTAAATTTAATTCGCAATCCGAGTGATGAGTCAATGCAGTTGGAAACACAATATCGAGTTTTGTTGATCTGAAGCACATCAGTAGGTATGGAACTTTGATTGGATAAAGCAAATTTACATTGTTATTGTTGTAGGTCTATTTGAAATCACTTCAACATATTCTCCGTTGCCTATTGAATGATTCAACTGAATTTTTAACGACGAAAGAAAAAATAATCGATGAAAAACGGTCTAATGTTTGACCTTTGAAGTGATAAGAAAGCGTACTCAACGTCGGCAAACGTGCACATGCTACATTTTAGCGTGGCATTTTTTTCAACGTCAACTTGTTGATAAATTGCAGCACACTCAATAATTGAATGTGTCATAAATATTGAGAGTAAGAAAGTGGCGGAAAGAGGAGGAAAAGACAACTCAAATCCCTTCCTCAATTTGTGGCAAAGTGAGCGATTTAACTGCGGAAATATTGGATAAGCATGTAATTCCAAAACAAGAAAATTTACGTAAGACTCTTCTACTTCTATTCATGGGCTATTTGTTTTCATCCAATAAATTATTCGAATACCAAGCGCTCTATATGCATATATAGTTTATCATGATGAACTCCAACATATTCTCTCTATCTTCGAGACGATAAACCCTAAATGGTTTGTATTTTACCGTTTAATAGATATGCCACCACCACTCAAGATTTAGTTTGGGAGAGAAAACAAAAATTATGGATGTTACACTCGATTGACAACAGATGAACACTATATTCTCAACGGATATTTTCATGGATTGTAAACCAAATGGGAAATCAAACTTTACAACGATTTAAAAACGGAAAAGTGTGTAAATCGTACGTGATTTCTTCCATTTTTTCGGTTTGTTCGACCGACGAAACGCTCCAGTGCGACGGAGATGTGCTTGGAATGCAAAATAAAATGTTGCGGCACGTTCGTTTCCATTCAATGTTGCACGCACAATAAATTTTACGTTTCAACACATCCTTTCAATGACGAATGAGTTTCAATCTGTGATTTGCACTTTTTTTTTCTTCTTCGAGAACTTGCTCTAGTCTTGGAAAAAGTTTGTTTTTCAATTTTTCACTTTGCACATTACATTGGCCCAAATACCGATGTAATTCGATTTTTTTCCCTCAATTGGATTGCATTAAATTGAAGACGGTTCGCAGATTGAAATTTATACAAAATGGAGCATTTTGTTCAAGTAAACCAATTACTGTAACAAGCGTAATAGTATTTGCGTGTGAAAAGCGCCTGCAACATGCAAGTTTTATGGTTCATTTATGATCGTGAGAAATTCGGTTGTCGAAACATCACTAACTGACAACAGTGAGCTGGGTAGGGAGTCTATCGTGCAAAAAGAAAAGAATAATGTGTGAACTTGTTTATATATTTCTGTTACTGTCTTCTAATCTCTTTGTTTATTGCTCGAGAAACAACAAACACATGTGTGCCAAAAGTAATGTGTTGGTAAGGGCCTTACCGTAAAGTACACTGTGATCAATGTCACTATTGGTTTTTTTTCTTCTTCCTCCAAATTTCTTTTGGTATCCTTTTCGTAACGAATATCAATGCCGAAACGGAAGAAAAGATAGAGAAAAACCTGTGGCATTTGGGGTTTTTTCCTTCGATCTTTCTCTGCGTCCGTGATAACAAAAAAACAACAAGCCATAAAATGCTAATGAAAGATTTACAAACGTGTACGTTCCCACGTGAAAAATTTCCAGCCCGGGAATTTTTCGTTTTCCTAATGAATTTGCACAATTTTTTGGCTCGTATCTATACAAAACACACTTCTGAAAATTGACTTTTAATTTATGCACTCTGATAATGCAGTGCAGCGGAGTGAGAAGAAAAATGATGCCGTAATCGATGCATTCTCATCAGCAGGAGCATGGGAAATATTCAAACTCTAAATGCAATGGACTTTGTTTGAAAATGGCCGTCAGATTTTTGGAGAAGAGAAAAAAATGTGTAAATTTATATTTAGGTTTTTATTCCTAAAGTGAGAACAAAGAAAAATTAGTAGAAAATGAAGTGAATCTGTTATTCCATCTTAAAAAGAGAATTTAAAATAGAAGAAAAGAATCCTAGCATTCAGAGATAGACGAATTCGATCAAAGAAATCGATCAAAGAGTCATTGTTTGAAGGAAAAAATTGCTGGCGATAGCAAAAACGACAATTTGTCTACAATTTTTCATTCAATTTATCTATTCTCAAGGCAATATTTCACATTCAATTCACATCGTAGAAAATACATTCAAATTTTGTTTCCTTTCATACCCTCTTACACTCTTAGCCTCTCATTTGTGCTCTGAATGTAGAGCATTTTGTCGAATCATTATAGATATCGACGGCTATAAATACATCTAAACGATGTTAATATTTATGACTAAGGCTTCTCTTTGAAGCAGTAATTCAAAAGAAGAGCAAGCACAGATGCTGTACTGGGTGGCTATGTGTGCGTGCATGTGTGTGTGTGCCTGTGAATGTGTTGGGTTTTTTGTTGTAATAAATGGTGGTATCCGAAAAAATGGGCGAGGCTAATTTTCCATCGTATTGTGCTGCAGTAACCAATCAAAGCTCAAGCGTTACTCCGACGGAAAGAAGTAAACAAAACGAGAGACCTCTCCAAAAAATAAAACGTACGTTCCATACATACCGAAAAGAGAGAAAATAAAAAAAAAGAATGCGACACAAAAGCATCGTCATTATTATAACCATTTTCATCCATCTCATGTGCCATTTAGAGCGTTTCGTTTGTTAAATGCACCAATAAAGAAAGAAAAAAAAAATACACAAGACCCATTGAGAAAGAAAATATACACACACATTCCATTTAGACAACTTTTCGCCTTTATTTTGTTTCTGTTTTGTTATGTTCGTATTTTTATTTTTGTTTTGGTTGCTTTTTTCCATCGTTTTTTGTCCTCTCTCTCTCTCTCTCTCTCTCTCTCTCTCTCTTCGGTTTATTTAAATAAATACTATTTTAGTTGCTTGTTAAAAATTCATATGAATTATTTATCTTACTTCCAGAGTCAGATTAATCCTATTATACATATACATTGAAAATTTACATGTTTTGCCATAAGTGAGAGTGTGTGTGTGTGTGCCTCTCGTTTTGTTAAAATAATTTTGATTTGTTCGTAATCCTAACTTAAACATTAAAAACTACGATGGTTGATCTTTTCTGGTTTTTTTTTCTGCTTCGTTTTTTTTTCTCCAAATTAGAGCTCTAAATCGAGGATTAAATGAATGAGCGGCAATAAGAAAGTTTGAGTCATTTCTCTGAAAAGACAAGCAATAAAGAAATCGTTCAACTTTCATCGTCGATTGAATACAAAATTGATTTGGATTTTCACATAGTTACTTAAAATAATTCGATAAATTGTTGTTGTTGTTGTTGCTGTTTTTTTTTCTTTCGAAGGGAAAAAAAATCAAATGACTAAATCGTTTCTAATACAATGACGAAAAGAAAAACTAATGAACATATTGATCGTTGGACATGTGATAATTATTTGTGTCCACAATAACACTGGTATATTGAATTGAATCGGTGATGGCTTGTGTTCCGGATAGATTGTTGCCATTAAACAGAACCGAGCCACCCGAACTTGCATTCCCATTGAGCAGAATACTATTCGAACTGTTGACTCCGGTGCTGTGGCTGTTTTGCATGTAATTCGAGTGCAGATCGTCTGGCAAATGAGGAACAACGTCTCCGATGCCCCCGAAGCAGTTTACTTCGAACGAATGATGTGTACGTTGATCTATGCAGTCAACGTATTCAGGTGGTGATAAATTAGCGGAATCCAAATGAGAGCTACTGTTCTGGGTGTTGGTGGAAAGTAGCACTTGACTATTATGATGATGAATTGAGTGGCGATGTTGATGTTGCTGCTGCTGCTGCTGTGAATGATCCTGATTGTTGTTATGATGCAAATTATGATGTGAATGATGATGATGCGATGTCATTTGTGAGTCTGCATCTGAATTACTACTGCTGCAACTATTCGAGCTTGCTGAAAACGGTCTATTCATTTGATCGTCATAATAAAAACCGTTGTAGTAATTTGGATCGTTGTACTCAACGTTCGTCTGATTATTTATCGTCGGATGAATAACACTGGGCGAATTATATTGACTGCCGTATGATTGTTGCTCGAAATGGTCCATTGAAGTTGAATAATTGCCAGAGATTTGCATGGTTTGATTTTCCATTTTGCTCGAATGCACCGGAAGTTCTTGTCGATGTGACAGATGCGGCACCGTTGACTGTACCTGCGGTTCAATGTGCTGGAAATGGGTTGGCTGCATGTGATGCTGAGCTGTTGGCACTGAAGCTGATCGGGCATGATGATGGTGTTGGTGATTCGGGAGTGTGTCATGAGATAGTGGCGCAATTGCCGATGATGGTGGCGATGGAATGGCTGTTTGACTGGTACTTGTTGACCCCAATGCCTCCACACAATTTGGCTTCGTATTCATTTGAACGTCACTCAAAACAAGATCCTTTACTTCTTTTTTACTGTTGAGAAGATAGATAGAAAGAGAGAGAGAGAGAGAAAGAGATATGGTTAGTTACTTGAGGTTTAATTTTGATGTCCAATGGATGGATTTTATTTTTTCGCAAAAGAAAAAAAAAATGTTTAAAAATAAGAAAAGAAAAGAGAATGGAATGAATGAAAAATTCATTTCAATCAAATCAATATTGATCTTTATTCCATTTTTGCCCTCAATTTAATTGAAAATAAAAAAGTTCAAATAAAATCTCAAAAGAACTCTTACCTTAAAACATAGTTAACACTAACTATACAGAGTGGCCTTGAGGATCGTGAGTTTTGTACGACTGTCGCATACGATTGCATCCAAATGTAGCCGCCGGATTTCGTTAAGAAGCGATAGTATCTGGTGGTGACTTGGCCTTTGTACATCACTGTTTGGAACGAGAAAATTTCTATTTACACTCACGATGTCGAAATGGTGAAGAGTGTTTCAGAGCTTTTGCCAAGGTGTTTGTTCAGAGGGCGAATAATAAATTTTCAATGTTTAACTTACGTATCAAATGGGAATCTCGTATGTGTTGAACGTCGGCTGCGTGGATATACTGATACAACGTTTTTTCGATCAACTCCTGTGGGCTGAATTCGGTGTACTGCGACACACTTTATCGCGTAAATCCAATGAGAAAAGCACGGAAATGACAAAAAAAAGAAGGAAAACGAACACATTTTTACTTTCAATTTGAAATTCTTCGTCAAATAAGTGCTTTGAATCAATTTTCCAAGCTGAAGCAGGGCAAATGTGATAAAGTAAATAAAAGTTTCGTATAGCCGATTTCTAAGCGCTCGCTTTCACGCCTCACATTGTTTTCATTTTGGCAACCAAAGATAGGAAGTAACTGGAAAAATCCGAGCACACGTTCAAATGATTGTGTAAGTAAAACGAAATCTCAGCCGTGGAAAAACAAACGGGATTGCATTTTTTTCTCGCTCTCTCACTACTGTTCGTTGTAAGGTATTAACGCGGCGCAAAATGCTAGCCAAAAACAAGATATGACACGTTTTACAGATTTATCATTAAATCACTTCACTTCAATAAAAATAATAGACTCGAACGAAAATCGGCTGGGGAGCGAAAGTGCGCGCGCGCGCCCAACCAAAAAGCACTACAAACAACAATAAAACGGCATTATGAGAGCATTTTATGCTCGTTCAGCGTTCGAATTACTCGATTCAAAATGCCAATTCATTGAGAGAATGAGCGAGCGAGCGTAGAACAAGGACTAACGAATACGCATGAAGTATGGGTTCCAACGAGCTGAGCTTCGCAGCTAATACGCATCGGCAAATATTTGCGCTAGCTCGGTGTAAATGCACAGTTTGAAAAACAACAATGAACCTTTGGGGTCCACTGTTGATATTTACACGCCGACGCACATAAGCAAACTGCCACACACTCTCTCTCTCTCTCTCTAAATCGGTTGGCTGCCAGCTTCTCTCGCCGGACGAGACAGTGTTGCAATTATGTACTATTTAATGAACTCACTCAACGAAAATCCAAACATCAACAAACTACATGTAGTTGGTCATTGTTTACGCAAATTGTTTCGTTTTTTTCGGTGTCTGAATGCAATTGATTTAGAGAGAAAGAGAGAAAAAAGCACCAAAAACATTTCAAAAATGAATGATTTTCAGAAGAGAGAAAAAATTATTCATGAATTGCACGATATCGTTTACACTCGAATTTTATTTATGTTCAGCTTGAAAAAAATGAAAAGCAGATACGACATGGATAGAGTTTTTCTAGTAAACACTTACCGATCATCTAAAAATATCAATTTCAGCTCCATGCTCGCACGAAACATAAACATATTCAGATTCAGTTTGATTTCCGTGATTGACGACGATGGCAACGAATGACCGACGGCAACCAATCCTAAATTCTGTACACAATTATGACCATCGCCATAGCCATTGTCCATTTGAAATACTCTCGCTTTTAAATAACCAGCACAGTGGATCACCTGCAATTGCAAACAGGGGAAACAATTGTGATGAATTGAAGGAAAATTCCATTTAGATATTTTCTCAATTGATCTCATTTTTTCGAATTGAAATGAAGCTCAATTTTAATGGGTGTGTTGTTTTTTCTTTGTTTCAGTCATATGGAAACGTTCAAAATTTTACCTTGTATCCTTGTGTGGTTAGGCCAGCATTTCGTTTGGCGAGAACACATTTCATGCGCAAGAAAAATGTTCGTTCAATTTCCACGGTTTGCGATGGTATAAGCTGCTGTTGGTGTTGATGTTGCGTAATGTGTGAGTAATGATGGTGTGGATGATGTTGGAAATTTGTGTTCATTTGATTCGGTGAGCCTAGTTCGATTGAAAGAAAAAATCGTAAAATATTTCATTAATATCGCGTTAAATGAACTCATTCACAAAATTGAGTCAATCAATAAACTAAGTTCATTTCAGTAATTGACTAATCCCATAAACTAACTCCAGCAAAGTGTGAACGTGATAGTAAATAAATAGTAAAATAACGAGCAAGCGAGCGAGAGAGCAATGACTTACCTTGGCTGTTGTTCAATGTAGCTGGGCTGAATGTGGTGTTTGTACTTTTGGATTCGTTTGGATCAAAGGCACTCGGTGGATAGCCATTTGGATGCAATGATAAAACACGTGCCATTTCATCTTGATCATAAGCGTGAATGTAGTCGTAAATGGAATTTCCGGTGAGTTCGACTTGGCTCAAACCGAGATGTGTTGATGCTGTTTCCGAGATGTACATAATTTTACCGTCTGGCGCAACGACAAATATGAAACCATCCAGCGTTTGTAGCAGATTTGAGCCAAGTTCTTTGATTGTAGGCACTCGAGTATTTGTTGGCATCTCTTTCGAACCCCATGCTTCGCCAAGACCTGATATGAGAGCAATAACAAAAATAGACACAATGAGATGATGGCATTTTAATTTTATGGAAATTATCTCCATTGAATTACGACAATTTGTTTTTGAAAAAACTACTTGAGACAATATGGTCGTATGCGAGCACAATATCTCAATTAAATGCCGGAGTCTGACAACAAATAATTATCGATGAAGCTACTTCAGTGTAGCTGTTGTTGTTTGCACAACACACGTTAATTAAAACGCACATTGACTCCGGCCAACCACCGACCGTGCTGTCGGCACTCGCCAAATACTCAAAACGCTTGTCACTATATCGTCGAACATCCTACCGGTTCCACGCAAATTTTTCCACATTTTTGTTTTTGTTCTTTCTTGACTTTGTGCACAATCATTTTCCCATCGCTCATCAAATAATAATCAGAACCGAATGGAAGAAAATGAGCGCACCGAGCGATACACGTGAATTTTTTTTTAAATCATTAACAAGTACACGCTTCTATGTGACAAGCCACCACGATGACAGAGCTCAGGCGATGTACGAACAAAAAAAATGTATTGCGGAAATTGTTAACGACATTCATGAGGATAATAGGAAGCTGTTTGTATCGCCTTTGTTGCTCGATGGTATGCCTGTAGTTTTTCTTGCCGTCAGCAAAAAATAAAATAATTGTTCTTTGACATAACAATGCATCTGAACAATGAACAGGCACAACCCCCTCTTTTATGCGATGAATAAACACGTGAAAGTTGAATCGCTCCGATCAATTTAAGTGGTGGCGTGTCGCACAGCATATGCGCTCCGCTCATCGTCATCGATTACACACGTATCGCCTGCTATACCGCTGTGTGTTTTTAACGCAAATTCCCATTTTTCACATCGCAACAAACAAGAGGCAAATCGGTTTTGTTTTAATCGGAAGTGGTTCAATCGTGTATTCATGATGAAATTAAAAGAATGTCAAAAACGAAGAAAATTTTGAAATTTTTCATAGAAATTGCTTTTGAAGCATATACGGAAATATAGCAAACAGCAAATGAAGTTGAAAAAAAAATGTTCTTTTTGAGGAAAAATTAACATTTTCCATTTCGTTGAAAAAGAGACGTCTGAAATTTATTCAAAACCAGTTGTCGGAGAAGATGTCCTTCGTGGGCGGATGTGACGCAATTCATCATATTCCACCAAAGAGAACAGTAGCAAAAGGCAGATACAATATTTGCATATTTTGTTCATTTTTTCTTGAAGTGTTTGCATTATGTAAATGTTATTCGTTAGGAAGGGAAAAAAAGATGGAAGAAAAGTTGGAGCATATTGTGACTGCATCGCTCCAAATATGACTGAGAAACGATTAAAAAAGAGAAAGGAGAAATGAGAAAACACTCAACTCGGCACACCGAGCCAGCGTCAATCTCATTCGTCTTTTTTCTTAGCAAGCAAGAGATCACTTGAGAATGTAAATATGCGAAACGGAACGGAAAACCTAAACAACCATTGAGAAATGAATAAATTTGTATTGAGTTTTTTCTCTTTCGTTACTTAAAATGGTGTGCAGCGACTATGAAAAAGACATTTTTGAAGAAGAATGAGAATGGTTTCTTCTTCTTCTCGATAGAATCAAAGAAATAAAGAGAGTGTTGTTGAAAAAATCAAATAAATCATTTGAGCGGAAGGCCGTAAGTCGATGTTTGACGTGAACTCGACCGAAACGCCTACACAACCTTCGGTAACTAAGACTCAACGGATTTACTTACCATCGGGGAAAACTTGACGCATTTTAAGGTAGGACGTTGTCAGCCGAATTACCGATGCTTTATCTAATTGTTGTGTTATTACGATCGGCAGTGGCAGCAATTTTCCCAACTCACCGAACTCCGCATTCTCTTTTTCGCGTCGTGTGCGAGCCGCATTTTTACTTTTCTCCTTCATTGCCTGAACCAATTTTGGATCTGTGGAAGAAAATCAAATGTGATAAAATCAAAAATGAAATGATACAAAACAATTTGTTCGTATTTTGAGATGAGAAAAGCATGTTTTCTCATTCGATTAAATAAATTGCTCTAATCTGTTTGAATATTTTATGTTGGCATTATTTGTCGTTAATGTACACAAACGAAATGAGCGGAAGATTCAATTTCATGTGATAGAAAAGCGATATTCAATCTCATCGAACAGTGTAATGTGTGATAATAATTGCGTTGAAATGTTCGAGCTCATTGAAGAAATGAGTTCGATGCGAAAACCCCCGAAACAAGCGTATTAAATGAATAATTTATTGGTGTGGAGAAAAGGCGAAATCCAAATAAAAGTCCATAACACCCATCGAATCGTCGAATGGAATATCATCAGCTTTGGGAAAAACAATACCGTTTTTTATGGTATGTTAATTTATTTAGCTTTATATGTCTTTGTTTGACTTGTATCGCCTTTTTTTGTCGTTCTTTCGATATTTTTCCGATTTTTATTGCAGTGAATAAGCAGCGGTTTTTGGTTGCAATTCACTTGAAGACTGGAATAATGGCGAGAGCACTTATTTTATGTGGTTGCTTCTTCTATTGACACATACAGAGCAGCAACAGCACATAGATGCAGGCTGGTAACGATTGTTTGGACGCGAGCGAAGAAGGAAGGGAAAAAGCCAATGAACGATTTATGGACACTTGCATACAAAGTAAACAACATCCGATTGTTAAACAGAAGCACACTGTTTGTATGTGTGTAAATACGAATGCGAGAGCCTGTCAATACACACATCCACAGTGGTATATCAAATGAAATATGTTTAATCTATTATTCGATCCTTCTTTGGGATTTCATTTGAGAAAATTATCCTTATCGCCACTTATTGGCCATAAGGATAATTTTCTTTGCACAAAATTAAGCTTAGTGAAATGGAATGCTCAGCAAATAGACGAGAAAAATTACACAAATTACAACATATTCCCTATGATTTACGCTCGTTCTCTTTGTCGCACCCTAATTGATTCATCGCAATTGAACCAAAAAATAATGAAAGCACTCAATAAAGTGTCACCACAACACTTCTATTTGCATATATGGTTCAATGATTTTATGGGCCAATTCACTCACACTTGTATGCGAATGACGAAAAAAAACAAGCGATGACAATAAGAAAAATTCCCAAAATGCAAAACACGACCGATAATAAATTCATTTGAATACCTACCCAAAAATTTGTTTGTTTTACTTTTATTATTGCAAATTGTCTTCATTTTGAGAGTGATTTTTTTGTTGTGTATTTTTGAGATTGCGTGATATTTTGAAAATTGCAAGTTGCACACGTTCTGATACGCACCTGATCACAAACTAAACTAAACGATCATATCGTCTTAAGGTGAGAACCTGCCAAAAAATATCGGATGTTTGCTTGTTTGTGTCATACTTAGCCGTTGTACGTGTGCGTTTGTTTTTTTTTTCTCTTTCTTTTCCTCTATTGCCCATTGCAATTAGGTATGTTCATTTCGTTTGTGCAATAAACACAGCACTTGGCATGAGAACCGAAAATCCAGTAAATTTCATTTAAGCCAATTGGCTAAAGAAAAAACCTCTCGTCCTTTGTTCCACCAAAATTCATTCATAGATCGAAACAATGGGATCCGGCCAAGAAGTGCATTCTTTAAATCGATACAAGAAATACAAACAACCAACAAAGGTACAGGTAACATTTTATGGGGCGTATACCTGATGCATGCATGAATTGGAGTACAGTGTGTGTGTGTGAACGATACGGCAAAAGTAAAATGGTCAGCTATCATTGATTCACACATTGAAAAACACGTTCGGTACAACCCTAACCGGAGTGTTCCGAGTAATGTGTGCATGAGTCAAAATTCCAAATTCAAATTTATCCTTGTATTAAATTTTTACGCAGAAATTACATAGCCATTAGATAACTTTGACTAGACACTTGTGTTTTCTCTTCAGAAAGCGAATTTTTGCACGTTTGAATGAGTAAACATGCAAATTCTTCCGTTATCATAACTAAAAACGTGCAAATGATTCGAAAATGTTTTCCGGAATAATGACAACTCTTTGATAACGGAAAAAGACACAAAACGATCACATGAAATTACTTTAATAAACAAATCAAACAAACAAACAAATATTCATCGCTATGACGTTCATGTTTTCTTTTTCTCAGGCGGAGATACTGAAATAATCGCATTGGCAGCCGTTGTTGTCGGTGTTTTGATTGAAGATTGCGGGTGCGAATGAGCACAAACAAATTGGATGAAAGCCGATAATCACTACCGAATAGGGCTAACACATTCGAAATGTTTTCATGCGTAATCTCTGCATCTGAATTGTTTCTTCTTCTTTTTTTCTGCCGCCGCCGCCAATGGCAAATGTGTTCAAACAGTAACGCATTTCAGTTAATCCACGGCACACACACACACACACAGTAGCATCGTTTAAAAATGTTCATTAAATATTGAATTTTGATGTTTATTGAATCAAAATGACGATGATGCGCGATTAGTAGCCAATGTGTGATGCGTTCACACATGGAACGGCGGCGTTGAGGAAATGCTTTCTGTTCCCGAGGGCAGGAACCAAAAAAAAGAATCCGTAATTCATCTTCACACAAAGAATGAACAAAATGGAATAATATTTATTTAGGCATATCGTTCGCAATGTTCTGTATGTTGTGTGTTGTTTATGTTTTGCGTACGTTAGTTGATCTCTCTCTTTCGATCACTCACTCGCTAGCTCACTCAGAAAATTCTCCTCGAATGTATCACTTTGTTCCATGAAATTAACGAACACTTTATGCTAGCACACGTGATGCCTACATTATTATTATTGTTATTTATGCGTTTTATGCATGCATGCTTTTCTTGCCGTTCCGTTCCGTTCCGTGTGTATTTATTTTTTTTTTTGGGCTGCTGTTGTTGTTGGTGATGGTGTTGTTTAGCTGCAGTGCTTTTCGTGTGTTTTTTTCTTTGTTTTTCTTCGGATGGTATGTCGTTCATTGTTGCGCGTCATCTCGTATAGGTGTGTGTGTGTGTGTCTGTATGTGTGTGTGTGTGCCGAAAACGTGTTTGTTCAAATGGTACGTGATTTTTTCGGATGTTCGGCGAGAAAAACGCACCAAAGCAAACCAACGCACTTTGTGATTGCTCCGTTGCAATTTTACCTTTAGATTGGAATTTTTATGCATGTTTTTATTGTTGTTCGATTTCCGTTAGTTCCAAACATTTCTAACGGATGTGATTTTTGCCATTGATCTCCAAGTCAACCGTATTTTGTCATTGGATTTGCTCGCAACCGAAAGAATCCATTAATTTATTAATGGCAACATGATGCAAAAGCAGACAACTGGCGACCTATTAACTGAAAACCAACTAATTCCATTGAAGCTGACAGACAAAACATAAATTCACACACAAAAAGTTCGGCATTTGGTCGATACAAATACAGATTTTGCAGTTCGTTTAGGCGTTGACTATGTTTGTCATTTTTTTCCATTTCCAGCTGATTTTTTTCTCTGCGTATGTTTGATCGCAACAAAAGATTTTTTTGTGTGTGTCGATAAACTTTTATGATATTGAAATCACTGGGCTGCAGAAGTGTGATTTGAATTTTTCTTGCCATTGTCACATAAAATATGATACGCGTCGAAAAATAATCCGCATCAAATATGCGTTGTCATGTTCAACCAACCGACCGATGACTGCCGAACAAAACCGAGCTATTTTTACCATCTCTTTCCATCTCCCTCTCTCTATCAGCCGTCCTGCCTGCTGCACATCATCTCCGTGTCGACTCGCTTATGTTAAACAGTAAAATGACAACAAATTTCACATTTTAAATCACTGCTCATTGTTTGTAGGTTGATCGATCCGAGATTTTTCTACGTAATCATTTGCGTGGTGACGTTTAAGGATTTTCTTTCTTGTTTTTGCTTTCAGATGATTTGTCTAAATCAAAACTCTGACATTTTTAGGTCTGATCAAGGATTTTGATGAACGTTTTATGATATAAATAACTTTGGAATATTTTGAATTCTCATTTCAAAATAGAAATGAATAAATTATGACTTTTGATGCCAAGCGATGGGAGTGTTGGAAAATCAGCACACTTCAAAGATGAACAACAATTTGTTTAGACAGTAACATTGGACGGAGCAAAAAAAAAGGATAAAGTGGTTGACTGAAGTGGTTACATTGGAAGTGGTGAAATCTAGCTAGAGCATGTCATTTGCTCGTTTTTTTTCCCTGAAAATCTGAATTTTTCAAACACGCGATCGTTGCCTTGAACAATAAAAATAGTCCATAAATCAACTTTCATATTTTTGCTATCGAAAGAAAATTAACTTCAAGAAACTTTGACGATGGAATCATTTTTCATGTTCAATTTTCAACATGTAAAATCCTTCAATTTGGTCATTCAATGAATAATCCATTATTGAATTGCACAAATCCACAGAAAAAACGATACTTTTCACTAAAAGAGTGTACAATTCAATATGTTTTCCATTGAAAAATGCCACTGTCTCCTTAAAGCTAAACGAAAAACCAACGAAACTAACTCCTTTGTGCACTCATTGCTGCTGACGTTGCAAATCACTGATCACTATTTTTATAAATCCCAATAATATTTGTGTCCGTGTTCGAATAGAAAATCAATGGCCTAAACTGATCGAATGTGTTAATCGAAAAGTTAAAAATCGGCATTTGGAATGGGAAAGTAGCACTCCGACGAAGTAGTATTTAGATGAACTAATGAGACTGAGCGATCGGATTGAAAGTGCACAACTGCAGCCAATGTGCTGAGAGCAAGGTTGAGACCACTGCAAATCACTACATTTACAAACCTGCCAATTATTGTAATTATCATCATCATTTGTTGTTATTTACACTGAGGCATACGTGTGTTGAGAGAAGACGAAAAGAGAGCAAAAAAAAGTCGCGTTGTTTCACAACAGCAGTTAAACGAAAAGCAAATTACATTTAATAAACATTAAACACTCATTGAGCGAGGGAAAAAAAAAGAAACGTTGTGCATTTGTCGTTATATGTCTCGATTTGGTTAGAACATTTCAGTTGAAATTTGGTGTTGAATGTGTTTCAAATACAAGTGCATGAGTTGATAAACAAATCTATTCGTTGTTCAAATACAGCGAATCACTGTAAATAGAGCGACCCAAGAGCTAAGCTACCATACTGATAACAACGCTCGTTTGCTCTCGATGGAGCGAACAGTTGATACATATTCAGTGGCTGTTTTTTTTTATTATTGTTGCCATTTCGTTCTCAACACATACACAGACTGGAAAAAAAAAGACGTGACATTTTGTCGAATCAGCGAAAAACGACTCCAACAAATGAAAACCAGCGCAATGTGTACAATTACGAGAGACAGAGCAAGAGAGAGAGAGAGCGCGAAAAAAAAAATATTATGTGCGCGATAAAGCAAACAATGGCGTCAAAAATCATAATGGGTTTTGGGTTATAAATATTTTGAGAGTTGAACTGCAAGCTGAAGGCTGCAGAGATTAGAATGCATCGAGCATTCGATGCAACCAGTTCAGTTTACATAAATCACAGCACATTTTCTCCAATTACACAAGCCCATTTTAGTGGATTCGATGGGCTTTTCCAATGCTCGAAATCGATATTGTCGCAATTTATTAGGTGGCAACACCCTTTTTCTTTTCTCTCTCTCTCTCTCTCTCTCTCTCTCTCTCTCTCTCTTTCTCTCTCTCTCTCGCCACCGATAAGAATTTATCGCTTTTAAACATTGCACCCATTTGAATATATTCACATTAAAACTGCACTTATCGCCTGGATTTTTTTGTGCTGCCCATTCGTCGGAGCGGCTTTAAGAAAAACAACTCATAAAATTACATTGTAATCGCTTCTAATTACAATGTTTTGTGATTTGGTTGAAGTGTAAAATAATAAATTTGCTGGACACTTTAAAGTTTAAACTGTACACAAGCAACCAGCGAGAGAGCGGAGAAAAAAAAAATCGTCGTCACAAAACGAAATCCGATTTGCATTACCAATTCTTTTTCTACTTTTTTCTTCTCATTTCGAAGCGGAACGTATATTTCCATCACAAAGCAGCAACGACAAAGGCGCGCAGAATGAAACATTTACTCTTTTTCTTCGAACGACGCACATTTATCAAAAAAAATTTAAATGTGTAAACAAGAAACAGAGAGAAAAAAATGTTACAGACGATTGATTCGCGTGTCCCGTTTATGTGTGCGCAATGGAGACAAAGTGCAGCGTGAAATCCGAGCAATGACGATCATACAAAAAACTATTTCAAATTAATTTTCCGGGAAACAGAAAACTATTTTCTCTTTCTCTATCCACCGTTCGCCCAGCGAAATCAATAACAATTGAGCACTTGCTGGGCTTGCAATTGCACACCGGATTATCGGCGGTGGAGGCAGCAGGCGAGCACGCGATTGCGTATAAAAGCAAAACAAACACGTGAAATCAATACGGCCCATTCCGTTGAAGAAGTAATAATTTGGACAATGCAAATTACATCCCGAAATGTGTTCCGCTCATCTTTTTTTGCTGCGATTTCCAATTTTTTCTACGGAAAAGTGTGCTGCAGCGATCATTTGGATGTACAACATTTTCGGCTGATTTATGAAACGGGAAATGCGAGAATGTGTTTTGAGAACATATCAATGGTTTGCTTCAATTTATTTTGAGCAAGCCATTCTTCATCTGCGAAAACACATTTATTTTGCATCATGATTCTTAAAAATGCGTTCAGAAACGCATTGAACGAAACTTCATCTCGTTCGCATTTTCAATAATTCGCAATTGCTTACATTTTCACATACATATATATCCCAAAATATCATTGTTTTGGTGATTCAATTCGAAATTCATTGGGTAATTGAATTCAATGTTTTGCTCATTTATGCCAAAACTGTTAATGATTTCTTTGAAAACGATACACGATTTACAACTGATCTAGTTATTATTTATTAACGTCTAAATTTGCCGTTGTAATTTGAAATTATGTCCGAAATGTATTTGCTAACGGCTAAATGATTTCAAGAGATTGAACAATTCTTGTTTTTCCTCACTTTTAAACGTTCTATTGAATCTATTCCTCGGGAGCAAAACAGCCGTTTTCCATAAAATAGACCATTGGAGATTATTTATACACTCTCGTTGATCGGTAAAGACGTCAGATTATGATGTCTATAAATAAAACTGTTGGTTTAGCATTTAATCGACCGCATAATTATAAACAAATCATCTTACTCCGATGCTCATGCAGGAATTAAGACATTTATCGGATAAAATTTCATTTACTGGCGAATGTCGAACTATTCAAAGTGATTGGTTAAGTGGTGATGAACAGATTGTCGCACCGATAAAGTTTACTAGTCATCACTTTCTGATTGACAAGCGATGCGATGACAATGGAAACGAAGACTCACGCAGTTTACACCACTATATCGGTTATATATAATCTCTCGTAAGCGTCTCTAAAAACCGTTTTAGTTGCATAATGCAACTTTCGTTTAGAAATGAAATCAAGCCTCGAACAAAACTGATATCCATAGAAAGACTCATTGTCTTGACTGTGCCAACACAGTTGATACCAAAAGAGAGCTAAAACTAGAAAAAAAAGAAGCTAAAACAAGAGATGCACCAAATGAATATAACCGCATTCATTTGATACAACCGTTATTTGAATAGCACAGGAGCTGCATTGAATTCGTTTTTCACATCGGCGAAAACTCAATCGAGGAAAAGGCAGATCCAATTTCTGAGATAAAACATTCAATAAATGTGTGGCACAAGTAGCCACAAGGAGATAAAACACAATTGAAAGATGCTGCTGGTTAATGAACTCACACAATCATCGATGCCCGCATTATTGTGCACTCTAAATATTCCCGTTAGTGCAAATGCAACCCCTTACCAATAAGTACGGAAGTGAGAATAGTGTCCCAGCGAAACAAGATATTGCACAGATAAATCGAAACTCATCATTTTCTCATAAGAATACAACACGGAACTATGCAAGATTCTTCATATTCGACAAGTTACAACCATGACAAAGAGAGAGCTACTAACATGTCAAGAGCAAATTGCTATCTGGAAAACAGTGGATGTTGTCGTACCTTTTTTTCAGAGTATTTCAAGCGGTCGAATTGTAAAGACCCATCGAATTTGTGTTATTAGATGCGACGTGTTTTATCAAAATATCAAGTCGTTAAATGCTTCGATCGCGTACGAAAACTTTGATAAAAACCACTCGCAAGCCAACTTACGTTCGCGTTGCTTTCAATGATTGACATTGTTTCCCTTCGGAAGTGTAAGCGTTCTGTTTTTTCTCCCTTGCCGCTGTAATGGTATTGCGATTTCAAAAGGCTCTTCCTGAGGCTATTGTCGTTATGTACTTCTTTCTTGGAAATGGTATTCAAACCATTTGTATGAATTTTGCTTGTGTCGTCGAGCCAGCAAACATGGTCGGCCTCTATGAACGCACATTCAATTTGTGTATTATTATTCGTTATTCCAGCGAATATATTACTGCGAAATTCTTCTGAAGCAATAATTCAGCTCTTTTTGTCGCGAACATTTTTTTTACTGCGGTCACGGTTCATTTGAATGTTCTTTTTGTTCGGTCCATTCGAAGCTCACAGTTCTTTCTTCGAATGAAAAAAAAATGGAATCGTTACGTTACAAGCGCCGTTCAAATTTTTATGATCTTGTGACGCCGTCGAAAAAACGAGAAAAATGTATTAATTGAACTTCTTAAAATTGCACAACATTTGAATTTCAAACTGATTCCATTTTTCAAAGCGAAAAAAAAAACTGAACCTCGTGAAAAGTAAACGTATAAGTTTACGTTAATAAAATAATTATAAATGTACGGCTTTGCTGGCGAAGACCAAACAAACGGCGATTTGATGGCCAATGCAGTTTTATAGAGTGCCATCTGTTTTCAATGAATGAATTTCGCTGAGCTAGCAACAAAATATTGAACTTCATCGTATTTTTACTTGGCTGCTTTGTTTATTTTCTTCGTTTCGTTTCTTTATTTTGCTTGAAAGTGCATTCATTGTTCTCTCGGTCACACGCGATCCGGCTGAACACTCAACTTTACAAGGCGCACACAATCGAGCGTTGATATTGAGAAATAACAGACACTTTGACGTTTACAGTCGTTACTGAGAATTTCTGCAACTTTTCTGGGTTTTTCGTTTTTGATTTTTTTTTTTTTTTAGAATAAATTGTCGCAAAATTCAGCATTTCAAAACCTTTTTTTTACTTCTTTCATTATTCCAAATTCAAAATGAAATAAGATTGTGAACAAAGATCCGTTGGAAAAATGAAAAAAAAAGTGGGAAAAAAAGTTTAGTTCATCGTGGTTTTGTGTGGTCATCATGTACGATAATCGGATAGTGTCAAAGAGTGTAACGAATTGCTTTTATCGGCGTAAAATTCAAGCGAAGCAAAAGAAAAGAATCAGACAATTCCGCATGAGAAATAACAACAAATGAAATTCGCGAGAAAAAAAATGAGTTGCGTCGTCGCGTCGAAAACCATTTCAAGAATTATGATTTCTCTCTGACGTATATCGAGCTGTAAATTTATGACTTTGTGAAATGCATGCAAGATGTTGAATGGGTTTTTAAGGATCTCGCGACCAATCGATTTGCTTATTAGTTTTAAACGCAATCATTATGTGGCCCAGAGTGTGCCATGAGGTAAAAATGTTTGCCGTGAAATCTTCTCTTTCTCTCAGAGAAAAATAAGCGTAAGAATATTGGGACGAATTACCAAATGTTAAGTGCTGTGTTGTAAACCCAAACATCAAACACAAATATAAATTGATGACGGAACGCGAGCGAGCGCAACGAAAATATTTGTATCGTTGCCGTTTCGTTCAGGCCTCATTACCAACGCTTAAAATAATAGTTGTAGCACAGGCAAACCAGGAAAAACACAACTAATACTCGCCGATTAAATCCTATTTTCCTGTTTATTTATTGGATTGGGTGAGCATTGAGCAACAAAAACGCTTTGAACAACATCAAAAACCACATTTCCGATTTCGAATCCATTCTCTCGCCTCTGCTCCTGCAGCAATGGCAAAATCTCTTAATACGCCCATTAGATTTTCGGATTTTTTTCCAGTTGCGTCGTAACGAACAAGAGAGGCATAGAAAGAGCGAGAGTAAGTGAAGCACGGTGCTACTGTTTAGGCTGTGTTGCCTTCGTTTACAATTGCACACGTGCATGTAACTTTTTTTCTATGCTTGAAGGAGAATTGCATTTCGAAGCGAGACGATGTGGAAGAAAAAGAGAACAAATTTTAACGATGTTTCATTTATTGGGCTAACATATTCATATCCGTAGTGGTGTTATTCTTATTGATTGTCGTGAATTGGGATTTTCTTTTGGGGACACCGTGGCAAATAAATCGACACTAACGATGTGGAAAAATTGAACTAATTTGACGTGGTGAAAAGCCAGATATTGAAATCCATAACAAGTACTGGGTGGCCTGAAAACACACAAATACAAAAGAGAGAAATAAGCTGATCAAGCATTTCTTCATCTTTTATCAACCAAAACTAAACGTTTCACACTTTTTTTTCGCTTTCCCTTTTTACAATTTTCTGTATATTTTTATATTCTCACTGTTTTTACGCTTGAAATTCAATGCTTGAAATTTGACGCCAATGATTTACTCGTCAACTGTAAAAACGGCATCATCACACAGTTGAACTAAAATTTAAATGTCAGTTAATTTATGTCTGTCCTAGACATTTTGTCGTCGGCACAATCAATGAACCACATCGCCGTCACCTTTTCATAGCGGTAAAGGGACATCTGATTCGAAACAGGATCAGAAAAAAGTGGAATATTTTGAGAGAAAACATTTCCAAGCGTTGAAGGCAAATGTGACTTTTTATTTGTTTTTCTTTCGGGAACTTTTATTAGAATTTTTTTTTTATTGAGATTTCTTTTCTTCAGTTTTAATGGTCTTATTAATTGAGCGAAAAAGGAGGAAAGAAATAAGTTCAAACGTAATAAAATGTCCTTCACGAAATTTATCAGGAAAAACTTTTTTCTAACTTGAAACTTTACATAGAAAAAAAAACTTTGAAATCTTCTTCGCTCAACGTCGAAGCGATAAACATATTTCACCTTTTTTTAGTATTTTTCTTTTCTTTTCCTCTATGTTTTTTTTTATTTTTCTCTCTCTGAAACGTCGTTTTTCTCTAAAAAATGAATTTTCTGCCGAAATAGAGTCATTATTCGATTTGAATGACAAATGTTTAGCATAAATGATGATCATTCTTGAAAACACTGTATCAAAAACAATCATTTTCTGACACCAAATCAAGGTCTGTAGAATATCAACGATTTAAATTTTGGTTACACGACTTATTCCAGAATGCCTATTATTATTCAAGTTAAATATTCTATCTCAACAATTTGAATGAAATAATATGCAAGAGTCACGTACCGGTTGCAAACTAAAAAACTGTAAACAAATTAATCCAACAAAACGATAGCGATGAGGAATTTGGCATAGATTTCGTTTGTTCTGCTTCTATTTCTGATTGTTTCACTTTGATTGAATTGTGTTTGTACTCGGCAATTTTTTGTTGTTTCTATTTTGTTATTTTAAATGTCACAGATAAATTTCTAGTCACTGATAATTATTCGTTGCATGGATATACTTCACTTTCACTCGATGTAATTCCTTTTTTTTCAGGCTCCACTGAAAATCCTTGATGAAGCAAAAAAAAAAATTTGCTTGAAATCTAATGTCCAAGTTGAATTTCACGATTTTCCTCGGAGTAGTGTTTACTTTTTGTGCACTGTAAGAAGAACACGCGAATGACGACCTTCCGTCGTGTGTGTCGACCAGTCAACGTTACTTGAAAATTACGAAATGAATACTGAGCTAGCGGTTACGAGAGAGGAAAAACATTAACGCAGTAACGCGCGAACTCGTCCAAATATCAAAAATGAAAGACAAACACACACACACACACACACATCATCAGTACACGCCACACATATCCCTCTTCACAGGCTCATTCAAATGATAGAGGCGATCCAGCGAAACACGAATATGAATAATCACAATATGCTCGATTGGTACATAATGTAGCGAACGGTTTCACTCCGCCGATGTGAACGGAGAAGAGCAAGAGATAGAAAGAGAGAAGAAGAAAGTGTGAAGTATTTGTGTATATATACATAAAATATGCGGTTGTATAGCACAAACAACGATCGTCTGCCACTTTTTCTCTCGCTCATCATTATCCGTGTGGCTCTTGTTTTTCTCCTTTGCACGGGCCTTCTATCGTGCGTTTCGCATCACACTGTATATAAATGCAGGTTGCACTCTTCGCTCACTCGTGCGCGGATCACAAGCAGATTGAAGTGCATTTTCATGAGAGCGAAAAAAAAGGACAAAAAGGAAAATAAAAATCAATCAGGAATAACGAACGAAAACATTTTTTTTTTTCTCTTTTCCATGCGATTTTTTCCACAATTTCTTTTTATTAGTAATTTCGATGCAATGAGATCATGGAGTGAACGCCAAGTAAATAACCAATGTTTACTTTTTGCGTTTGTTGAACCTTGCACTTTCAATATTGTATTCCATTACAACAATATTCCGCTGAATTTCGGAATTTCCAAGTAATTCAATGCATCGCTCAGTGTCACAAAATCTGACGACTGAATACGAGTCTTGCAGAAATTAATGGGAGCAAAAGACCCATTATGTTTGTTCAAGTGACCGTTGTATAATGTTCTCCATATATGCAGTTAGAATAGTACAAACAAAGGCCAATATTTTTGGTCACCGTTTTCATCCAGACAGTGTGTGGAGTGTTGAGTAAATGAATTTGCACTTATTTCTAGACTGATTTTGTGTGTTGGTCGTTCGACATTTCGTTTACATATCTCAACACTTGGATGATGTATGTGTGAATGGGAGAAAAAATACAGTGAAGATTTTGTGTTCATTATGCTGTTTACAGTGAAACAAAAACAAATATCGGGATCATAAGTATCAGCATTCGGTGGTGAAGTATCTATGAAGATGCGATTTTGAAAAGGTGAAAAAGAATGAAACCGCGCCCCCTCGACACTCGATCGGCTCGATTCGCGTTTTTATTGGTCTGTGCATCGGAACGAATGAACACACACGTATGTGATTGTGCGTCTGCGTCTGCGTCTTTGTTCGTTGATGCACACACGGATGAACCCCAATACCGTGTTTGTGTTCTATCTCTGTGACGAAGCTCTCAATCGATTTCAGTCTCACTCTTATTCCCATTCACGCTCTGCCATTATTTTACTACTATTTGTTTGTACTATAACGTAGCCACTGATTCACGTTTTTCAGCGTATCTATTGATCATTTTGCCGAGTCTATTCATTTGAATCGATATGATGACCATTTCAATTCAAACATCACACAAATCGATTCTGTCGTTCTTTGACTGCTCGAGGGTTTATTTCAATCTGATTCACTCTGTGGCGACCTGAACACGATTGTGCTTCTGTACGTAAATTGAAAATGACTTTTTTTTTGCTAAGATCAATGAACTATTCGAGTGAGTATCAACACTACTATGGTAAGCGTTGTCTTTTTAAAGAGCTGAAATTTAATACCTACGACATTGGTCTTGAGTCGGGACTTTTGGTGAAAGCCAAGATCTAACTCTATTTTTCTTCTAAATTATAATATGAGTTTTAAGTTAAAAAAAAAAATCTACTTTCATCAAGTTTTGTAAAAATTAAAAAAAAAATTACTTCGAAAATTAATCAAAGTGGATAATTTTTGATTCAACTCATTTTTATTGATTTTCGGTGTTAAGGTGAGCCTTTTTGAAATGTGTCAGCAATGAAATTTTCTTCATTTTTCAATATTAAAATTGCTATTTCTTTTTCAGAAAATCATTCTTTTCATAAAGCTACTCCAACTGTTGTTTCATTCAACTTCGAATACGCTCACAAAACTGGTTGTGCTGACTCTTTTTGAACACCCTAAAAATTGGCATCTGACAATACTACACTTGGTCTTTCGATTGACATTTAGCTGTACGTAACCGAACTGTCAAACAAATTGAATATAGTAAACAAACGGGAATGCAAGAACATCATATGCAACATTTTCGCCTTAAAAAATTGAAATAAGTTGAAAGTTTCGATTCACTCGAGGTAAAAAATAGTGCCATTTATCGATTCAAAATGATTAATTTCCCCAGCGGTCCAATTGTATCTTCAATTCACATCGAACCTGTTGACAGCGATGAATACAACCAGAGTTTGGTTGAACAGCTCACACCATACCATAAGCAAACGTTTCTTCATTACGTGAAAATTGAGAGAAATCTGTTGAATGGTAAGTTTCACATCAGAAATTACTGATTTCCATTTTTGAAGCAAAAAAGAAATCAGAAATTGTATTTATATTATACTACAGTACCTGATTCATATCCAAAGCTGTGTGCACGTGTTGTAGATGAGTTAAACAAAGAACAGTTTAAATGTAGTCAAACCGAATGGCTGAATATTCTGAAAGCATGGAAAGACTTTGTGAGGTAAGTTGAGAACAAATGAAAACAATTGTCAAAGAAAATCAATTTTTCCTTTCATTACACAAACAGTGCCCATTCCGGAAGTAAAATGCTAACAACAGAAGACAAAGAACTATTGAAATATATGAATCATGTCAAGGTAAGAGGCATTGAATCGATCAAAGTACAGGAAAACCATAATAAAATTATGTTCTCTTCCTACAGAAGTCTAATGTATCGAAATCTACATCTAAAGCTATAGAAAATTTCTCGACGCACTGTCGAATTTGTTTGGCGTCGAGTAGCTCGAAAATGTTGTATTTGTTTGAAGAGAAAAAGCAATCATGCCATGCGGAAGTATCGTTGCTCGATAAGCTAAATTATTGCTCGTGTTTTACAGCACAAGCCAGGGCTGATGACCAATTGCCGCAGTACATTTGCATGAGCTGTTCGATTTTAGTTGAAAATGCATATCAATTGAAAGTTTTATGTGGCAAAACCGAAGAAAAATTGCAAGAGTTCCTCCAAAAAGTGGACCAGCAAAATGACCAAACTGAGTTGGAAATGAATTCTGGTGAACTTTATGTGAATATTCAATCAGAAGAGCAAGGAGAGCACACTTTTTCTGATGTGAAGCATGAAGATGAGATGGGGTGAGCCTTGAAAAATTGAAGATTTTTTTTGAAAAATTTGTATGAATTTTCTTTTATTTCGAAGAAATTTTAAAACTGATCTATTGTATTAAAATATGTTCATTTCAGAGTTGTTCATCTTTCAACAAATGAAACAGATTTCAGGAGAGAGCAAGACACATTCGAAATAGATGATGCTAGTGAAGAGATACAAATAGTAAAAATCAAAGCAAAACAATCTCGTGAATATCGATGCGATATGTGCACCGCAGTGTTTTCGAGCAAACGACGTGTCTGTGATCACATGGATCAAAACCATAAGGAAGATGTCATTCATAAAAAGTCCTACAAGTGTCCCGAATGCGACAAATGTTTTCGTGTGAAATGCGCACTCACAATTCACATACGAACACATACTGGTGAACGACCCTATCACTGTGAGGTAAATGCTACAATTGGTATAATGTTAAAACCTGATAACAAATGATTAACCATAAGAGTATCATATAGATCTGTCGAAAGTCGTTCAAAACGTCAAGCGCTGTAAATAATCACCGTGTAATTCATACCGAAGCAAAGGACTTTAAATGTTCAACCTGTGCATTCAGTACAAATACAAAGGCGAATCTGAGAATTCACGAGCGAACTCATAGTGGTGTTCAACCGTATGCCTGTCAATTCTGCCCGATGAAATTCCGAACCGCAAGCAATGTGATCAAACACATGCGTAATATCCATGAAAAACAAAAATTAAACAAAGTACACCACAATCGAATTGTAATCTTAATCAATTTATCTAATTTTTTCCATTTATTTTGCAGTGTGAACAGTGCGATCGTTCGTTTTTCACTCGCGAGTCACTTCGGAAGCACAGTGTCATTCATACAGGATTGAGGCCATTCAACTGCCCTCAGAAAGAATGCCCACAATCATACGGATGGTATAACGGGTTGAAAAAACACATTCTTCATCAGCACTCCAACGATGATGTGAAACTGCCGAGCGAAAAATTCTTCTTAGACAAATTAAAAGACATTCTGCCATAGCACTTGAGATGAATCTAATAGAAATGCCAAAAATAAATTGACGTTGCTAAGAAAAGATTAATCGCTTGTTTTAATTCACTAGCATGTGCTGTGAAAATACGTACTCAATATCGACAAACAGTCGTAACACAGCCTATCTCGAACAAAATGTGAGTCAACGTCACACTTTGTTATCGCGGTGCAGAGATAACGACCGAATCGATCGATGCGGAAATATGAAGAAAAAAACAATAGAACAAACGTTATATACAGGTACAGAGTATTATAGCTGTCACACTGTGACAGATTCAGATTAGTTGCCGTTTGCGTATTGTTCGAGCTAGTTGATTCCACTTGACACTCGTTTTAGTTGTGAGTGAATGACTAGTTCATATTAAATTTGTGTGTCTATTTTTAATAACGATAGTTGAATTTCATTCAAA